TATCATCATCAAATGCAGTCGCACTTGATTCAAAGTCGATCATTACTGAATTATCATCAGTATCTAATGCAAGGTCAGAAGCTAAAATTAAAATTACATAAAACATAAAACTAATTGTTAAATAATTGCTTCCTCCTAAGAATTCTGTTGCATCGGTGAATAGTTTTAATACAGGAAGGAGATCTTTAATAGTATCCCACTTGGTATTAGTTAAATTAATTTTTTTAAGATGTCTTACTTCTCGTTTTGATTCATGATTAGTTTCTGTTTCAAGTATACTAATCATTACATTTATTGCTGATCGTAACTTTATTAATCTTTCCCATGCAAGATACAATGAGTTCCATCGAGTTTTTGTATCAGCAATAAGCCGCAAATAGCGATCTGTTTTGCGTAAAATCTAAAAAAAGCAATAGTATTATAATTAGTTAACTAAATAGTTAATAAATAAAATAATATATACATAACATTAAATTTTTTTTAGTTGCTAATATAAATAAACACACCTGATCTTTGGGCATGTTTATTTTTAATTGAACTTGTTCTAACTTTTCACTTTGTTTTGGGCTTATAAAAAAATTAATCAACCTTCTAGCCTGAGCAACAAGTATTTTACAAGGAATAAGCCCTTTTCCAACTACAAGCTGTAAAGTGTATGCAGTACATAGTATTTGAGTTAATTTAGGTAAGAACTGTACTGCTTTAACCATGTTACTTCCATTATTAGTAGTAACACAAAAAATTCGTTCATCCAAATTCCACTCATTAATAATATCATCTACTATATTGGCAATAGACATACCCGTATGTGGATATAGTAAATATCTAAGAGCTAAAAGTAATTCGTTTAATTTAAAATTTTTATCCAAATATGAACAGATAATTCCAATATATCTATTTTTCGACCGTGCCGTCCACAAATCAGTTGTTAATGACTTATAAAAAAGTGATTCTGAAAGTTTATCCATAAGCTGTTGCTTTGTATGCATGAATGCTTGTAACAACAAAATTTTTATAGCTTTTTTAGATGGAAGTTTATAATTAGGAACTGCTTTCTTCATTAATTCAATAAATCCATCATTTGTAATTACTGAAAGAAGTTGCTGATCCTTACATATAAAGGATACGATCTTATTATTCAAGATTTGCTTATGAATCAAATTTATTTGATTATGTTCAATATTTAATATATTATCAATGTTGTCTTTAGTAATACTATGTGCCATTTTAAGATGATATCAAAAATTACCTGTTGACTTTGCAGTATTGAGATTTACCTCTTTTCCACATCATTCATATCTATTTTTACCAAGTATATTTACTTTACATCTTCCAACTTGTTTGATTTTGACCTTTTTAAAATAATGCCACATCTTACTTATCGAATTTTCTTCATTGGATTCATTAGATTCATTGGAAGAAACCAATGCTAAAGGTAAAGTATCAACTTTTCTTTTTTTTGAATTTTGAGAATTATTGCTTGAGTCACTTTCGTGAATTTCGTTCATGGTTAACAAGAATGACAAAAAATTTTTTTTATGTTTAATTTTTTTACGATTAATTTTTTATTTTAAATATTCGTATATTTTATTTAATATATTAAACTTTTTTTAATTTATCTATTTGACTTTTATTATTATTATTATATCATCATCAATTAATTATCAGATAACCGGATAATCTGGTCTAATCATCTGAAATCAAAATTTATTCGAATAATTATGTCATATTCAGATTATTCAGATCAGTTAGATAAAAAGTTCTATCTCTACTTATTATATGATCTTGTGAACATTCATATGAATATAATACTAAGTACGTATGTACATATTAGTACAAAAATATAAATATAATAGCTAAATAATGTTAAGTTTAAGTTTAAGTTTAAATTTATAATGATGTAATAATACAAAACTTACTGCGTATTAAACTTATTATGAATGAGATTAACAGATGTATTATTTATTACGTAAACTTACAGACATTGATATCGTAAACTTATAATGATATAATATCATGAACATATAATGTATAATATGAAGTATTAATAACAATAATAATACTAATTTTTAAACTTATTATTATAATGATAATCAAGCTTAAGCTTGTAAAATATACTTATTAAGTTAATAAAATGTAATTGTTTAATTATAATATGTTAATAATAATATAATAGGTCTAAATTTATAATGATATAATAACAATTTGTAAACTTATTATTACAATAATAATAAGCTTGTAAGTTATGCTTAATTAAGTTAGTAAAGTGTAATTGCATAATTATATATATATTTTTTATAACTATATATACTAATAGCGTAATATACAGTAATAAGTTTAAGTTTAATAATAACAACTTTTAAATTTATTATTACAATAATAATAGCTTAAGCTTGTAAGTTACTCTTAATTAAGTTAATAAAATATAATTGTATAATTATATTTTTATAACTATATATACAATATCTTAAAAAAAGTAAAAAAAAAAATCATATCATGTTAAAAGAAATCAAAAAAAATACGATAAACTTTCTTTGAAAACCAACAGGAATATTTCTATGATTATTTTGACTATATATTATACAAAGCCTCTATTACTTTACTTGACAAGTCTATTAGAGTTATAAATTTGGATGCACTAGACAACAATAAGGTAAATCATATATTAATCGAAAAAAACTCTTCAATTAAATGATAAATATTAATTATTAATAATAACAGAATAATAAAGCTAAAGCGGATAATTTTGTAAATTTATCAAGTAATAATAAACAACAATTTAATGAAGCAAATAATCATGTAACATCAACTAGTAATGGACGACCAGATAGTGAAGCCAATTCTAAAGGCTTAAATCATAATGAACTACAATTTAATGAAGCAAATGATCATATAACATTAACAACTAGTAATGGACAACCAGATGGTAAAGCCAATCCTAAAGGTTTAAATCATAATGAACTACAATTTAATAAAGCAAATGATCATATAACATTATTAACTAGTAATAGACGACCAGATGGTGAAGCCAATCCTAAAGGCTTAAATCATAATGACCTACGATTTAATGAAGCAAATGATGATGCAATATCATCAACTAGTAATAGACGATCAGATAGTGAAGTCAATCATGAAGACTTAAATAATAATAGTCTACAATTTAATGAAGCAAATAAACAAGTAATCTCATCAAGTAGAAATAAAGATTTTCATATAGTTCTAATTCTATATTAATGAATCTATTATTAATATATAAATTTATTGATTTTAATAATTATTATTTAATTAATAGTATTGTGAAACAGATACATTAAGTGGTAATAGATCTAGTTTTCTTGATAATACTTCTGAAGCCCAATCTGATAGTAATCTTATTACTCAAGTAAGTCTAATTAATAAAATAATAGTATTAATATATATATTAATTTTAATAGTTATTCAATTAATAGGATGATAAAGCAGAAAATACTTTCATTAATCAGGTAAATTACAATTAATTATATTTGGATTAATACAAAAAAATATATTAATAATAATATTAAAATCTAATTATTTTAATTAATAGCCTAGTAAAACAGAAACTACCCATAAAATTGAAACTACCTATAAATCCTTATCCAGTAGCAATAAACATAAATTGAAACATAAAGGGTTAAAACGTAAAGTATCTTTCAATATATCAGAATCTAACAATGAAAATAACTGATTTTTAAATCAAAATATATATGAATATAAATTTTTGTATATATGTTTGATTAATTTAATAAATTATTAAATAGCAATTTACTTTTCTTTTTATAGCATAATTGAAATGTAAAGGATTAAAATGTAAAATATTTTTCAGTACATCAGAATCTGACAATGAAAATAACCGATCTTCAAAACAAAATATATATAAATATAAAATTTTGTATATATATTTAATTAATTTAATAAATTATTAAATAGCAATTTACTTTTCTTTTTATAGCGTACATCAATTTATTATAAAAGCAGTGAAGCATCAGAATATCAAGAACAAGAGCAATCAGAAGTTTCTGAAAGCTTAATTGAAAGATCATCTGGTATATTAAATTAAATAGTACTGTATATAAGTTTATAAATTAGTAATTTTAATTTATAATTAGATACTATGTCTTTACAATTTATATCTTCACAAAATTCTAATTTAAATAATATATTATTATTTTTTTTTTTGAATATTAATGGTGAGACCATGTCTCTGTCTTTATTTAATTTTAATTAAAATTTTTTATACAGATACATATTATAACTT